AGCTGCTTCACCGTGAAAAGAAGGATTCGAAGGCACAACTCCACATATTCGTCAGTTCTCAGGCTCAATCAATTACTAATATTATTAGTCTGCGTTGTGGAGCTAAGAGCAACTGATTTCCCTGAGATCACTTAACCAGTAAAGTGTGTCTATACGAGGATAATGGTCCTCCCATACACAGCAGCAACCCATCGCAGGAATGTGGTCATACTATGGACTTCTCAGTAAGGAGTTCTTGATGGTGTTGGATACCGTTGCTGGCGCACGTCTCCCACTATGTAGTGAACAGTCGGGCGGAGCTTCACATGCGCGTTTGCAACGCGCTCGGAATCTGCCCTCCCGAGTTGAGTACGGCAATGAACTGTATGGTCAACGTCTGGTAGAATGCATGGTTCCTTACAATGGGATATTATAGTGGGATGGAGCAGGCCGCCTAATAGCGGGTGGCGTAAGGGCCTCCTGCGGTCGCTCCAGGATTTTTTGGTATGATCTGTGGTATACTTTCTGTTGCGTTGTTAGTCTCTTGTGACATCTTAGAATTATCCAAAAGGACTCTGTGCTTGGTGCTTGGGTGGCGCCGCACCACTGCACTGCAGGGCGTGAGCGCTGTGCGCTCAGTGCATGTACTACCAAATTTTTGGGCCATTTTGCGTGATTCCTGGTCGCGCGGAATTTTGAGCAGGAAAACCGAATGATTCATTCAGAATGAAACATTGACGAATCCATTCTTGTTCTCTCGTATAGTATGTTTTAAAATTGCGCCGCAAACTAAACTTACCTCTGAGCAAATTGGACGACTCGACCGAAAGTAATTTACTTGCCATAACACTGCATATCCAAACACAACAAAGTGGCTGAGATTTTGAAATGATTGGGACCCATGAATAACAATGAAATTTGACTGAGACCCAATCAAGAAACGTTGGGCGAGCTGACAATAAAAGTACCATACAAATGCTAAATAGAAGATTTCAAAGTTCAAGCGTTTCGACGAATGACTTCCTCATGCCACTGCAGTACTCAGAGGCTTGAAAGTTGCCCTGCACAAAACACTAACAGAGAAAGACTGGGGAGGTGTCGTTACTGGATCAACCAGAATATCGTCCATCTCCTGGGTAATCTCTGTCCCGTTCTCGTAAGACATGCTAGTTTCCCAAACAAATGTTGTATGATCTTCACTCAATGACAAGTCGAATACTCGAACCCCAGGATGCTCAGCGATCGCTAAGACATGTAAGAGATTCTCGCATTATACTACGATAACTTCGCATTATTACCTCCACTGTAACCACCATATCCACTTTTCCTGCCATAGCCAATCCTGATCTTTCCATCGATGAACTTGGCATCGACCATGAAGTCGTTGTTGTGGTTATGGCCGTGGGATATACCCGTTACATTGTGTCGAATAGCAGATGTAAAGATTCCTGATGAGATCCCATACTTGGTATAATATGGTCTGAGTTATAATGGCGGAATCGCAGACAGGGGTGGTGACAATTTCCCAGCGAACAAAGAATCTGGTTTCCACTGGAGTTTAGGTCGTGAGAATCATCCTTGTATATCGATCGTGTAACGTTGTCTCAATATCT